GGGCCAAAGCCCGAGCCCCATCATCTGGGGCCAAAGCTGAAGCCCTGGGTGGCAGGGGCTCAGGTTACAGGCCCCCTGCCTGGGGCTGAAGCCCCAGGTTTTGGCTCCCCCCAGCACAGGGCAGCAGGGCTCAGGCTTTGGCTTTGGCCCTCCCGCCCAGGGCAGCGGGGGCTTGGGGGGGCTCAGGCTTTGGTCCCCCCTCCTAGGGTCGTGTAGTCATTTTTGTTGACAGAAGGGGGTCGCAGTGCAGTGAAGGTTGAGAATCCCTGCTTTAGAGAACTCGTCCTCTGAGCCTGGCACAGCCGAGCGATCCAACATCTTGGCACGGATCATTGTGGGCAAAATTCATCCCCACCTCCCACACTACGTACACAAAGGCATCGAGTAAGGGGCCGCATGGGGCTTGGAGCGGGCAGGGCAGTTCAGCCTACACTTGGTAGCTGCTATTCCAGCCTGGAATAGGGGCTGCAACTGTGAGTGCCACTTACACCGGGGGTCATGGGCACTCGGGTGTATTTTGGCCACATTCTCCCCACGCCCACCCGTGCACTAGGGTCTGGTATTGTGCACCGTTAATGTTAACTGAGAAAGTGAAACTAAGCATCTTTGCATGAGTAAGTTACACATTCCCCAGCTGCTTTAAAGCAGAGACCACCCCCCTCCCCTCCCCAGCGTGAACCAGGAACCAAAGAGCAAACGCGTTTGGCGGCTCACGGCGTTTCTGCTCACGGATGGCCAGCAGGTTAGGAGTTAAGGGATAGCGCCCCCTGGACCCCGCCGCCATGCACGGGGACTCGCGCGGGCTGGCTTTAGTTCCTCCTGCCCGTTGTGGGTTTGGACTTTGCGACTGTGCTAAACACTCTCAGGGCGGGAGACCTGCTAACACCACAACAACAGGGGGCAGGGCGGACTGATCAGACCACCCCGAGCTAGGCAGGACTGGGGGCTAGGGGGGCCTGCACAAAGGGTTAAAACTCCTCCCTGCACTAATGACCTGGCTCACAAACCCTTCGCTCACCCAGCTATTTCCACCCCCTCACCCCAGCCCAGCTGCTCCCCACACGTTTGTTCTCCTGGGTCTTTCCTTTCCTCTCACTCCTCTTCCTTCATCCTCTTCCCAGGCAGGAGGCAGCTGGTATCTGGCATGGTTTCTTTCTCAGCTCCCTCCTGGACCATGGCATCCCCCAGAGGGGAATAGAGGGGGCTGAAGGTCCTACCTACTATGGGGACTGGTGCCGCAGCAGGATTCTGTCTGCACCCCTCCCCTCTCCCACTGCTGCCGGCTTACTCTGCTTGTGTTGACTGGCAGGTGCCCTTCAGCTGTTCCCCACGGACAACACGTCACTATAGGCTTAAAAACAGTACTGGGTTTGAGGAAACGCCTGCCCCGTAGCCCTCTGTAACTTGTCAGGATAGTCACAACTACATTAGCTGGCCAAGTGCGTCGCTTCGACTCAGTGAGAATTTCACCAATAGGTTTTACTAGATTTCTGTCTCTGGACAGGACTGGAGTAGCCAGGGCTAGGCCAGGGATCCTTTTAATCTCCCCTCCCACCCAAATTCCTACCTTCGTTTCCTCACTCTCAGGATATACTGTATTAATGCAGACTTTGATTTCCCTTCCTGGAAGCCTTTAACTAAATAAAGCAGGAATGACCCAGCCCTGCTCCGGTTTTAACCTACCTGCAGCCGAGACGGACTTCGATGCATAGCTGCCAATTCTTCAGCATATTCCCCTGCCTCTCAGCACAGCACGGGGCTCGCCAATCCTGCCAGGTTCTGAGCGCCATCCACATCCACTGGTAGCGGCGAGACTTGGTGATCTTCAGCGCCGCGCAGGATTAAGACCAAAGGGTCGGTCTCTGCAGCCTCCTTGCTCCGCAGAGCTGAAGGAAGACTCACTTTGCTGGCGGGGCAGCTTGCAGATAACGCTGTGATTTTAAGTGGGCAAGCCTGCAAGAATCAGAGACGCAGAAGTCAGTTCTTGTACCTGGCAGCTCCCAGGTTCTGCATTTCTTTTCAGGCGACCTGAAACGAGACCTGTTCAGCGACTGCCAGACTTTCAGTTGAATTTGGCAGCTTGTCAAGCACAATCTAATGACCCCTTGAGTGGAAAGTGTCTATGTAAGTGTAGAATATACTTGACTTTGGTGAATCACCCACGTTCCTCCATTATTTTTGCATGCTACATCCAGTCTGGTGTCGGTAGCTCCTTATGTCCTTTGTAACACAACTCACTAACTCTCTTCTAATACTCAGGTAGTGAACACTTAATGCAATATGTGTGCAGAATCTTTTTGAACTAAAAGCTGGTTTTTACCTCCTGGAATTCTTTAGCTATTATCCTTGTTATTTATATCCGTCACATCGTATTACACCCTAGTGTGGCACAACCCAAGTGTAAAATGAAGTGTTCTCCACAAAACGAACCCCAAAATAAAAGCATTTGCGTATGGCTGGAAGTAGTTATTGAACTAATTCTGTTCTTTATGGGAGGTGGGTGCCCAACTGGTTGGAAAAAGCACACACAGTGGTGGTTCACAGTCAAGCGGGGAGGGCATATTAAGTGGGATCCCCCAGGGATCGGTCCTAGGTCTGGTTCTATCCAATATCTTCGTAAATGATTTGGATAGTGGCATAGAGATACACTTATAAAGTTGGCAGACGATACCAAACTGGGAGGACTTACAAGCACTTTGGAGGACAGGATTAGAATTCAAAATGATCTCAAACAAACTGGAGAAATGGTCTGAAATAAATCGGATGAAATTCAATAAGGACAAAGGCAAAGAGGAATAATCAATTGCACAAATACACAGACAAAATTGAAATGACTGCCAAGGAAGGAGTACTGCAGAAAAGGAACTGGGGGGTCGTAGTGGATCACAAACTAAATATGAGTCCACAGGGTAACATTGTTGCAAAAAAAAGCGAACCTCACTGTATTAGCAGGAGTGTTGTAAGCAATACATGAGAAGTAATTCTTCCACTCTACTCAGTACTGATAAGGCCTCAACTGGAGTACTGTGTCCAGTTCTAGGCACCACACTTTGGGAAAGATGTGAACAGATTGGAGAAAGTCCAGAGGAAGGCCACAAAAATTATTAAAGGTCTAGAAAACATGACACAGGAGGAAAGATTGAAAAAATTGGCCTTGTTTAGTCTGGAGAAGAGAAGACAGGGGGGACACGATAATGGATTTCAAGCACATAAAAGGTTGTTACAAGGATGAGGAAGAAAAATTGTTCTCGTCAACCTCAGGATAGGACAAGACGCAATGGGGGAGCAGCAGCAGTCAACTCACTGCGGTAAGTCGAGACACCGCGGTAAGTCGATCTAAGTACGTCGACTTCAGCTACGTTATTTACATAGCTGAAGTTGCGTAACTTAGATCGATCCTCCCCCCCCAGTGTAGACCAGGCCTGAGAGTCTTACAATGTAAGTGGGTAACATAGGCAAAGGGAGAGGCAGCTGCTCAGATTCACTCTTTTGCAGGTGAAACACCAAACCATTTAGTATATTCAGATCCTGCACACAATGCTGGATGTAGCCTGACATGCTAGAAACATCAGGCTTCTGAGGGTTCCTTTAGACTGGCTTGAAAATCTTAGCTGGATGGATAAAGACGAGCCACATTCGAGGTCTTAAATTCCTTATCACTTAAGTGTGGGGGGGGGGGGGAGGTGTAGCCAAGAGCCAGTTGAAAATGTTGCTTAAGTTTTTTCAACAAAAAACTGCTTTTTGAACAATACAAAACAGCGTCTCAGGCGATTTCTGTATCCTTCAAACTCCCATTTTTCCACAGATCAATTAAAAACTAGTCATTTTAAATGTGGGGGTTTTGCCCTTCTCTGGTGCTGGAGGGGGTCAAAACATGGAAAAACTTGCATTTTGATTCCATCCGGTTTGAACAGAAATACATGTTTGGTTTCAAGTTTTCATCAAAAAGTTGGGAAAAAACAAAAAATTGAACTTTTTTGTTCAAAGTAATTCCTGTTTTTCAACCAATCCTGAGACTGTAGCTTTGTGTGTTTCTTTACAATGTATAGTAAAGGCCTGGACATAGATTCCCCCCCCCCTTCAATATTTTTTCTGACCCCTCCCCTCATATTATAAATATATATTTCTCTCTGAGGAATATATCTATGGGTTTTCCTAAGCAGAGAGCTGGGAAAAGGACTTTCAATCCTGAAGGATGTTTGCTCCAAGTGGTTTAATTAAATAAATATTAAAACTCTTGTCTGTTTTAAACAGTCTCAAAATCACTTCCCCTTTCTCTGATGTCAAATCTACTAACTCTCCAGACTTCCACAGGCAGATAAGACCTGCCGCCTTTGCAAGGTTTAACAAAACAAAACCAAGCACATCTTTCAATCCTCCTTTATACACCATAAAAGCAGACAAGACTAATTCTAGTCACCTTTTGAACAACTGGCCAGTCGGGATATAAACATCAACATCTTTTACAGAGCAAAACCTGTTGCAATTTGCTCATAGAGCGCACAATTCAAAAAATTAACTTCCTCGCTTGCCCAGCAGCAAAACCCTATCAAGAGTGAATTATTATAAATAAATACCCCCTTCTGTCCCTTCTAAACAACCTCCTTAGATATTAGTGATTCTGGGGGCTTGTCTCTAAGTGTTGGTATTTAAGCACAGCATGAGGTCCATTGCAATCTATTGGGGATTACCAAGCCTTTTATACTCAACCTGGAGTGGTTTCATTATTGAGTCTGAACTAAGGCTGAAGGCGACCTCAAATTAGACAGAGGAAGAGTCTGCCCCCGGTTTCCTGCTCCTTTATAAACCCTTCTTGTGCAACCGCTCCTTCGAGAATTCTGAAACGGTAAGCTTGTTGCAGGAGAAATCTTTTTATTAGAACTAGTGTGTGTGCCTATCTGATTAACAGCTGTTGCTGGTAGTTGGAATCCAACCCACAGCATGGATCAGGTCTTGTATCCATGGCAGCAGGGTATTTATTACAGTTCCTACCACTCTCCACCCAGGATTGGCGGACTTTAGCCCTTAATTAAATAGAAAAGTAGGAGAACACAGGGACTGACTCTCTGACCACCAGATATAAAACAAAGGGGGGCAGATTCCTTAGCAAATGGTGAGTGACAAACGTTTTTGATCTATTTGAAACGGGCCCTATTGTGCTACATTCAGAAATTGAACATTTTTTCCCCTCCCCTCCTTCCTTTTTCCGCTACAGGCAAAATTTCTGTCCCAGGATCAAATTAATGGTATGTACAGTTGCTTTTTAATTAGCAGGATCAGTTTAACAAGTTTACCGCTAACGGCGTTTCTCATTAAAGGGTCTCATTCTGGGGAGTTTACTTCGTTGTTTAACATTCTCGTAATTCTTGAGGTGAACTGTCTCTGCTAGCTAATGTTTTTTAAAAGAGAGCATTAGATGCAGTCAGCCGGAGCCGTCCTCTCTGCAGTCGGCTGCTGAGATGGGGTGCGGTTTGGGCTAGCAAAGGAAAGGGAGCAAGAAACTAGAATATCGTACAAAACATTTGTATGTATTGTTCTTAAAACCTAAGAACGCTGGATTTCACGGGGAAAGAGGTTTAACTCCCCGCCCCCAACCCTTTAACATTACATCTCTGGACAAATAAGGGAGAGAGGATATTTAAAGCAGTCATTTGAGATACCGATGCAGTACTGTAAAGCTTTGGCCCTCAAGCAAACCCCTAGAAAGGCAGAGGAAGGCTGGTTTTGTGAGCAAAGCCCAGGATGGCGTCAGGAGAGCCGAGTTCTAATTCCCACTTCTTCCTGCGTGACCCTGGGCAAGTCACTTACCACCTCTCTGTGTTTCCCTCTCTCAAAATGGCCCCGGCAGCGATCTGCCTTATTAACCGCTTGGAAAGAGCAGCGGGATTCTTGAAGGGGAGGCAAAATAGAACCATTGGTTTGATATTAACCCAGAGGGGAAGCAGGCCCAGGGAATGGAGGGTGCTGGTTTGGAGAGGTAGGCAGACAGCTAAGACAGGGGATACCTGGGGGAGCGAATGGCATGCAGCAAGCAGCTGCCGCTGGCCCTGCACAATGCTGGCAAGCGAGGGGGATAGGAAAGGGACCCATAAGGGTGGGAGAAAGTCAGGTTATGCAGGAGCTGCAGAGCCAGCCCTGAGAAGTGCTGGAAATCTTTCATCTCTGAGCAAGTCCCCCTGCGCCACTTAATTCTTCATCCTGACACACCAGGAAAGCCCTGGGGGCGGGGCACGCCAAACTTTGGCCTTTGAGCCGAGTCAGTTGATCCAGAGCTGTTTACCGGAAGCGTCTTTTGAAAGGAGAATCAGCTACAACTAGGACAGGCTTCTTTACACCCCGGGTACAGTCTCCTGCCCTTTGGAGCGTGTCTCTTAGCTGGAGCTGGTAGGAACATGTCTCAGGGAAGGTACCGCCGCGGCATTGTCTGCTCAACCCCTCACAAAACTCTGCCCTTTAACTCCAGGAAAGGGCTCGTGACAATACAACCCCCAGCACCAGCAGTCGTGGGATAGAAAGAGGTTGGGTTCCACATAGCCCCTTGGGCCCCCAAGGCACTGTACAAATTAATAAGTCTAATGCTGGTGTGTGTCAGGACCAAGTAGCATGGCAAAACAGGACAGCCCACAAGCTCCCATTGCCCGGGACAGCGGGATCTGCTGCTAAGGTTATTTTAATGAAAACATCTGTAGTTCAGAATGCAATTCACAAAACAGAGCAGAACTAACGCGCACACGCGACAGCAGGTCGGTCAGAGGTGTCCTCTAGGGCCGGCAGCAGCCACTGGTTCTGTCTGCAGACTGGCCTAGGTCAGTAGAGCGCCGGTTCTTATCGCTTAGTCTCAGGACAAGGCCTCCAAATGCTTGTGAGTGCAGTAAGAAGCACTAAAGAGGACGCGTTTCCACCAGGTCCCCATTGTGTGACGCACCTGGCGTTTCTCAGAACAATGGCCCAGCACCAAGCGCATTGCTGGCATTGTCTCTCGGGGTGAAATCCTCGCCCCATGAAGTCAAAGGCAGGTTAGCCATTCGCTCGAAGAGGATTTCACCTCTAGAGACCAGGCGGGGTCTGAGCTCACCTTTGGCCTGGGATTGGGTGGGCTAAACCCCCCATGTGGGATGGGCTAGACCATTGCTGGGGCCTGACTAGCATAGCCCAAGTGTAAAACCTACCTCCGCTCTTCCTTCTCCTGGGGAAAAACGGCATCCGCGCCAATGTTCAAATTCAGAAGGCACATTGGGAAGAGCAGCATGGCCCATCGGCCACTGCAAAGCGCACACACAGCGAGCAAGTTTCACAGTCCCCACGAGGCACGAGACACCTCATCTCATCCAAAGGACGGGCGTTGAACACGGCGCATATCCTCCCCGTCCCCACAGGACGGCCTGGCCACATGGGCGCGAGCTCTGATCCTGGTGAGAGACTCGAACTAAGGACGCTCCAGCCCAGAGGCTAGAGTGCTACCAATCGAGCCCCACAGACACTAATTATTGCTGCTGTGAAATTCAGCAGGGGAGATTTTTGACAGGGAGTCTCACACTCGCACCCCGTCAGCCCATATTTAAAAGCCCAATTGCACAAACTAAAACTATTCCCTCAAAGCAGCACTTGGGTCCAGGGTGCCCCCCCCCCAAGTTGCTCTCTCTGACTGCAGCTTCAGCAGAGACAGCTCCCCTCACTTGACCCTAAACAAACCATTCAGTGGGTGCCGAGGAGGTCTATACGCGGTAGGCAAACGCAATGGGTCCAGTGGTTGGGCGGAGGTCTGGGAGTTGAAAGCTGGCTTCTATCCCCAATCTCTGCAATGGACCTTGCTGAGGAACAGCTGTTAAGGGAGCCGGATCTCTGTGTGTTTCCATTCCCCTCCGCCTCCCACACCCCGGTGAAGGGGGACAATACCCTCCATTGTGAAGTGCGAGAAGTGTTCTAGCCGCACCTCATGCATTGTACACACTGCACCATGACTGAGCCATTCACTGCTGGCTCTAGTCCCTTAGCTTCCCCCGCGACACTGCTTTTGTGGAATGAACTCTTAATGGTGGGTGCAACAGACCCACTGGTACCAAGACAGTTAATTTCCTTTTGCTCAGTCTTTGCACTTGGCTCAAAATCTGTCCAGCTGCACTCTATAGCCCCAATTCACATGATCCTAATTAACAGCAGAGAGTAACCGGCCTGCAAAAACCCACATACGGGCTCACCTAATTGCGCAACAGAAAGCACCGAGATCAGGCTGCTGGAAAACAATAAGGAAGCTCACTTATTGCTAAAACACTGGCCTGCTCCATCAGCCCAACTAGTTAAAATCCAGACTTACTTTATTAAATAAAGGAGTCGACCTTTAGAAATTCAGGATCCATCTTCACCGACAAATTGACTGTTCTTTAGCCTAATCTGCGGAGACAGGTCCATACTGTCTCAGTCATCTTAATGAAATCTGCTACTAGCCAGATCCTCAGAGAGCTGTGGCAAGGTTTTAACCATCTTCTCAAACCATCCATCTGTTTCCTACGATTCCGTGGCTGTGAAGTTTCCACCTTTACTCCAGCCCCTGCCACGGAATCTAAACTCTTATTTCTAGCCCTTAAAGCTGTCAGGGTAACCTTCGAATGCAAGCCGACGCAGTGAATGTCTGCCAGTCTCCATACACAGCAAAGCTGAGGAGAACTGCTCCCATTCATCTCAGGGCAGCGTTAATCTTGAATTCCGTTTCCATCATGAGAAGATTGGGAAGAGGGCTGGGAAAAGGTTAGTGAGACTAGCGCATATATTTGTTTTGCCATAGCCCTGGGTCATGGACCAGAATCTCATTATGGTAGATGCTCTACGAACAAAAAACACGGACGTTACCACAGAGATCACCCCTATCCCACAGTATTGTATTTTGGCTTGGGAGTAGATCGCAGCGTCACGACTGATTTATTTCAGTACAGTTTAAAATGACGACATCACAGCCCTATGTGTCTAGTTCCCTATTTTCCCTTTGTTCATTTCCTTAGGCTTGTCATCCAGCCATGGGTCCTTTGGGAATCCGAGGGAAAAGGAGTCAGGGAAGTGAGCCGTTTGTCTCTGTAGGTTTCTCTTAGTTGTTCAGAGAATGTCGGTCAATTGTTTCAACACCACAGTCCTCTTTTCATTAGTATTCCACCCAGTAGATCTAGACAGTTAAGTGTTTAAAAAGCTATTTCCCAAGCAGAGATCCTTTGCCGCTCTGATGAATGTTTAGGAGCTCAAGAACTCCATAGCTCATTAGTCTGAATATATTAAAGGAGGCTTGAGTTGCTAGGGCTCATGGAATTCACTGTTCTGTACTCCTACTCCAAACGGGTTTGTTCCCAGCGCCATCTAGAGACTCCCTAACATCTCAACACTGGTTACAGGATCATAGAATCATAGGACTGGAAGGGACCTCGAGAGGTCATCTAGTCCAATCCGCTGCACTCATGGCAGGACTACGTATTCTAGACCATCCCTGACAGGTGTTTATCTAACCTGCTCTTAAAAATCTCCAATGATGGAGATTCCACAACCTCCCTAGGCAATTTATTCCAGTGCTTAACCACCCTGACAGTTAGGAAGTTTTTCCTAATGTCCAACCTAAACCTCCTTTGCTGCAATTTAAGCCCATTGCTTCTTGTCCTATCCTCAGAGGTTAAGAACAATTCTTCTCCCTCCTCCTTGTAACAATCTTTTATGTACTTGAAAACTGTTATGTCCCCACTCAGTCTTCTCTTTTCCAGACTAAACAAACCCAATTTTTTCCATCTTCCCTCATAGGTCATGTTTTCTAGACCTTTAATCATCTTGTTGCTCTCCTCTGGACTTTCTCCAATTTGTCCACATCCTTCCTGAAATGTGGTGCCCAGAACTGGACACAATACTCCAGTTGAGGCCTAATCAGCGTGGAGTAGAGCAGAAGAATCACTTCTCATGTCTTGCTTACAAGTACTTTGCATTTGTCCTTATTGAGTTTCATCCTATTTACTTCAGACCATTTCTCCAGTTTGTGCAGATCATTTTGAATTTTAATCCTATCCTCCAAAGCACTTGTAACCCCTCCCAGCTTGGTATTGTACACAAACTTTATAAGTGTACTCTCTATGCCATTATCTAAATCATTAATGAAGATATTGAACAGAACCAGACCCAGAACCGATCCCTGCGGGACCCCACTCGTTATGCCCTTCCAGCATGACTGAGAACCACTGACTGGTCTGTAATTCCCCAGGGTATCCTTATTTCCCTTTCTATAGATGGGCACTATATTTACCCTTTTCCAGTCTTCTGGAATCTCTCCCGTCTTCCATGACTTCTCAAAGATAATCACTAATGACTCAGATATCTTCTCAGTCTGCTCCTTGAGTATTCTAGGATGCATTTCATCAGCCCTGGTGACTTGAAGACATCTAATTTGTCCAAGTAATTTTTAACTTGTTCTTTTCCTATTTTAGCCTTTGATCCTACCTCATTTTCACTGGCATTCATTATGTTAGATGTCCAATCACCACCAACCTTCTTGGTGAAAACCGAAACAAAGAAGTCATTGCGCACCTCTGCCATTTCCACATTTTCTGTTATTATTTTTTCCCCCTCATTGAGTAACGGGCCTACCCTGTCCTTGGTCTTCCTCTTGCTTCTAATGTATTGTAGAATGTTTTCTTGTTACCCTTTTGTCTCTAGCTAGTTTCATTTCATTTTGTGCCTCAGCCTTTCTAATTTTGTCCCTACATACTTGTGTTACCATGCTGTAAGATGGTCCCTGTTGCAAGGGAGAAGCAGCTCCATGGGTGACTTGGCACATTGGTAATTTAGGACAGTCACTTCCCTACACAGCCAACCTTGGGATGGATTGGCACCGCCTACTCTGCTCAAGAATCAACTCACATCATACCCCGGCACTTCTATCTTCTCCATTCCCTGGCTGACGTGCTGCTCTGTCCTCCATCTGTTCTCTCCTCCGCCATCTTATTTTCTTGCATTCTCTCCTATTCTTTATTCCTTCTACTCTATTCCTTTTTTGCTCCCTCCCCCATAGCGATCCTCTTCCCATTCCCCGGAAGGCAACAATGCTGCATAGGGGCACATGGCACCCTTGGGGCCACTCCACAAGCTACTGCCTCCTCCGAGTTGAGTGCCCTGGGAGCAGAGCGGAGAAGATTGGCCAACAGGCTGATATCTGACGCTCTGCATGACGAGCTGGAGAACTGGTCTGAAGACAACAAGATGAAATTTGGTGAAGCCAAGTACAAAGTATTTCACATAGGAAGGAAAAATCAAATGCACAACTACGCAGTGGGGAGTAACTAGCTAGGTAGTAATACTGCTGAAAAGGACCTGGGGGTTACAGTGGATCACAAATTGAATATGAGTCAACACTGCGATGCAGTTTCAAAAAAGGCTAATAGCAGTCTGGGGTGTATTAACAGGAGCGTCACATGGAAGACACGGGAGATAACTGTCCCATTCTACTAGCACTGGTGAGGCCTCGGCTAGAGTACTGTGTGTCATGGGTGCCACACTATAGGAAAGCTGTGGACAAACGGGAGAGTCCCAAGGAGAGCAACAAAAATGATACAAGGTTTAGAAAACCTGACCTATGAGGAAAGGTTAAAAAACTGGGTCATGTTTAGTCTTGAGAAAAGAAGACTGAGGGGGGACCTGAGAACAGTCTTCAAATACGGTGAGGGTTGTTATAAAAAGAGGACAGTGATCAATTGTTCTCCCATGTCTACTGAAGGTGGGGCAAGAAGTAACAGACTTAGTCCGCAGCAAGGGAGATTTAAGTTCGATATTAGGCAAATCTTTCTAACTCTCAGGGTCCTTAAGCTCTGGACTAGGCTTCCCATGGAAGTTGTGGGATCCTCCTCACTGGAGGTTGGACAAATTCCTGTCAGGGATGGTCTAGGGTTACTTGGTCCTGGCTCAGCGCAGGAGATTGGACTTGATGGCTTCTCGAGGTCCCTTCCAGCCCCACATTTCTACTAGAAGGAAAAGGCCATCCACCACTTTGACCACAAGTTCAGGAGCTGTATTTAAGGACAAGCCCCAACTGCTCCTTTTCTCTATTCTTCTCCCCTTTGGAGAGGTCTAGTATGTATGTGTACACACGCACGCACACACACACACGCGCGCCCCAACACAGAGTTCAGGTAGTCATTTGATGCTTTAGCTACAAGGGTTGATGAAATGCTGGAAGAGCTTAAAACTTGGACCAAGTCAGTCAGTCATTTTGCAGGTTTAAATAGTCTAGCTGCTTTTTCCTCCTGACTAGTAGACTGCGGGGAAATTTCACTTTCAAACGAAGACAATATTGGATGGCAACACACATCGGTTTTTCTTTTTAAACTAGAATTCAAGGAATGCTTTTCTCTATATGATAAGAAACAAAAAGGCAAGATAAATGCCAGCGACCTGATCACAGTGATGCGGTGCCTGGGAACCAGCCCAACTCCGGGAGAGGTAGAGAGACATCTTCAAGTGCATAAAATTGGTAAGTAAACTAGATCCGGACCACAAGGATTATTAAAAGAAGACAGATGACATGTAGAGCTCTCAATCTGACAATAACCAAGTGGAAAGTAGGTCTAAAATGTTCAACAAGGAGGACTCCATGCAAACTAGCAGAAGAGGAAGAAGTTGGACGGGATGGTATTTGTTAAGATTCAACTTTTCTGATGTCGAGACACAATAGTAATAAAAATGAGCAAGGCAGGAATCTAGGTAGATTTGGGTCTAAGATGAGACAGCCCAGACAATACAGGATAACCAGAAATTGGTCATAAGAGTGGTCAGATGTGCCGGATGATGGATTTGAAGGGCACATTTAGAAGACTTCACAGACAAGTCCAGCACAGGTATCAAAATGGTGCCATAAGGACATCAAGAGGAGTGGGGAAAGGAGACACACACTTAAGAAAATTGTGCGGTCACAGTTGTGTTGAGCTGCAGCCCTCCTGAGATCAGAGTCTCCTATCAAACCAGGCTAGGAAGGGAACAAAAAAGGTCATTTTCAGCTCCAGATGTCTCTAAAAAACACAGAATGGGGGTCAAAGAAGAGTCATGAACTGAGGTGGTCTGCACCAAACCATTGTGAGATAGGGGCTTTGAGTGTCTGACAAGGCTACAGAATTGTTATAGCTAAAGACTGGGCTCCTCCAACGACCGGGGGAAGCATCCATACACGGATGAGCTGAAATTTGGTTCAGACCCTTGTCCTGGGACAAAGGTTACTCCCCAGAAGTGCCCTACAAGGTGGCAGTTGGCAGTGTACTCAGGCAGAGTAACGTACTCAGCATTGCCACCAGTTTTAATTATTCTTTCAATTCATACTGTGCACAAGGGGGGCGCCCGCCCCGAACTCTGGGTGCCCTTAACACTTGTTTTAAACACCCAACAGTAGGTGACCAAACAGCAAGTGTGAAAAATCGGGACAAGGGGTGGGGGGGTAATAGGAGCCTATATAAGAAAAAGACCCAAAAATCAGAAGTGTCCCTATAAAATCAGGACATCTGGTCACCCTACCCAACAGACCCGTGAAGAACCAGACTCTCAATTAACCCTACACAGCCCTGATCCTTATCACCACATGGTGGGACCCAAAGGCGTTGCCATTAGCTAGGACGCTGAGAAGTCTCCTAGCTTGGTAGAATGCAGGCAAGCCCTGGCTAACAGCCTGAAGGTAGGCATCTCACCTCCCAGACCTGGCAAAGGCCTAGCACAGCGTGAGGATCTCACAAGGGAAGCAAGGCAATTCCTATTTAGTAAGATGAGGCTTGCCAAGGGGTGAGAGTGCATCAGTCTGTGGAACAGCCCTGCAAGGCAGGGCCTCAGTGAGAGACAAACTGCCTGGATCTGGTGCATACAAACAAGGAGAGACAGCTAATCTAGTTCAGGGAAGTAGGCCGAGCTCTCCGAGGAAAGGGGAAGAGCGAAGGCCGGAGGAGGCTGGGCTGATGGGGCACAGATATGCCAGTAGCTAAACAAGAACATGTGTTGTTTTGTGTCATGTTTCCAGACAGAAAGGCAGAACTGGATTTTTCCACTTTCCTGACCATAATGTACAGGCAAATGCAGCAGGAAGACCCTGAGAAGGAAATCCTGACAGCCCTGGCAATGACAGACAAGCAGAAGAAGGGTTTCATCACCGCTTCCGAGCTGAGAGCCAAACTCACCAGGCTGGGAGAAAAGCTCTCCGAGGATGAAGGTACAGCATCAAATGGCAGCATAAGTTCAACACCTTTCTAACCCCCTTCCTCTCCCTCCACCCAACCCCCACTGGAGTCAGATATAAGATCACAAACACCTGTGGGTGGGTACCATGTCCCCTGCCTCCGCCAGTGATCTTCAACCTAGAAGGGCTGGGGCACACAGTTCATGGTAGAGCAAAGTCACGGGGTCACGATCCAATCACGGCGCAGTGTGCGGACATTGCGTCATGAGGCTTGCATTATGACATGGTGTTGTCACAACTCTCGGTCATCACACTAATGCCACATATTGTTGCAACATTAGGGTATCACTGAGTTGCTCTTTGGAGCTTCACACAGTATTCTTTTGCTTCTCTTCTTACTGCTTTCTGATCCAGCTAGTCATCCGTACCTTTCCTACATGAGGCAGAAGAGGAGAGCCAACCCAAATCACAAGGGCCACATACCACTTCATAGACCCAAGCTAAAGCTTTGATCTAAATCATAAACAAGCCGCTGCCTTATTCTCCATAAATATTTTATTCATCTCAAGTTAAAGTTGAGGCAAGGAAGAAGTAGAGAAGAGTTACTTACCTGGCAGCAGATAGTCAGAACAGATCCACACTCTTGGGATACACCTGCAGAAAAGATAAACCCTTTAATTAGGCACATTAATGCTCTTTGAGAAAAAGGAAGGATATTTTATGCCATCGTCTGGGCTTTAAATTAACACTAGTGCAAATCGGAAGTAATTCTAGGTGAGTTATTCTCCATTCACACCAGCGTAACTGGGGGCCCAAATGGGCAGAGGTTGGCACTTTGTAGCAGTAATCAGAAGGTGTGGGTTCAGAGTCACGCTGAAGGAAGAAGAGATCATTTATCATTCTTTTCCTTCAGAGGTGCCCATCGTCTCCTGAAAGTAACGACTATTCTTTGTAAGATAAACTGTCCTTGTCCCCACAGGGGTCCTGGGAAAGCTTCATCCAGAGATCCTCCAAGGCGCACCCAAGGGCGTCTGGATGCTCTCAGGGAATTCTGTTTGCTCTGAGGAAGGGTCAGACCAGCTTAGAAAGAGGCAAAGAGAGGGCTCATTTTGACTTATTGCTCTCAAAAGATTTTTTTTTTTTTTTTAAACATCCTGTGACGAAGTCAGGCTGGAAGGCTGCATGAGGGTGCTCTTATTGGGTGCTGGGAAGCGGGCGGGCATAAGCCCCAGAATGTTAAAGGCCCTCTTCCCTACTAGCTGAGACGGGGTTACCTCAGGTCAATGAGGAACACCTGATTCCAACTAAGGCCTGCCTGAGGCCTTTAAAACCCCTCCTCTGGTGAGAGAAAAGGGGGAAGAGAGAGACAAGCTGCTGCGAGGTTAGTGGCAGTAGGAAAATAACCTTCTCCAGGGTGGGAGGCTGGGCTCCCTCCCATAGGGGAAGCTGCCAAACCTGAGGCTTGCTGGGGGAAGGACTGACACCCCAGGGCAACCAACAGGGCGACATCCTGCACCAGGGCGGAGGCAGCGAAAGGTACGCCCCTGGGTTTTCTTTGTTTATGAGACCGTTTCCTTTTTGTTTGGTGGAGGATCAACCCTTAGGCCAACCTTCAGGCCTACCCTTAAAGTACAACCAAGGGAGCACAGAAGGGGGAAGGCAAACTCTGCCGTGAGTGGGGCTGATTATCCCAGGCCCGCCATCACCAGATGAAGGAGGTGCCTTGCCACAATCCTTAGTCAAAAATCTGCCTCCAGCAATTACAAGAGCTCTCAGGGGGCATCAAAAATGATCTGAAGAATTTTGCCTCAGCCTTTCACAATCCTCTGAAAAGCTTTTTCTGCTTCAAATGTCATATGCATTGTCTGTGGACAGAAGCTTTTGGGAGAGGGAGGTCTACGTTTGAGAGAAATCAGACAAGCCGAAATTTGCCAAATACCATCACCACCAGATAGTTCAAATGTTCATGATACTTTATCACTCAAAAATGGATCTGCTGCACACTTCACATCTGGCTGCTGTTCTCTCAAAACTCCAGCGCATTTTGCCATATTCCTGGAAAGAGGCTCTCTAGCTTTGAAGTTATTCAATCCCTCTCTGTAGTGGTCCCTCACTCTCCAGTGGCGAGGGAGGCCCCACTGCCTCATTGTCGGGGCAGTAGTCTTCGGGCTCGGGCCGCACCGGTGGGGCCGAGGCCTACGCAGTCTGTGGTTCTGGGCCCATCTAGCAGAGGCAAGCACACCACAGTAGTCTGGGGCTCCTGTCTCTGCCCATGGGCGGGACAGCGCCCGACGTCGTCTCTAGCGATACCAATTAACCGTGTGGGCCCTGGCCCTCGGGGCGGGGCCGGGCTGATAGCAGGCTGTAGCCTAAGCCTCCGGCAGGCAGCAAACACAATCAATAGCTCTAGCCCTTTGGGACGGGGCAGAGCAGAGAGCTTGGGGCTCAGGCAGCCAGCAAACGCACATCGCCTCGGGGTTCAGGTAAGGGTGAGCGCCCACACAGTCTAGGGGGCTCCAACAAGGGTTGAGCACCCAGCAGGCAGGCTAGGGTGCTGGCAGGGGTGTTGACGGAGCACAAGCCTCCTGGCCTAAGGTGGGGAGTCGGCCACCCCGGGGTTGGGGTGCCAGGGGGACGCAGGCCCACCCTACTCCACCACGTCCCCACCCAGAGCCCTAACAGTGGCAGAGGGGTCTGGCATGGGTCGGCGGGGATCCAGCTGCAACAGGCCGACCCAGACGCGGTCAGCCCTGTAGCCGGCCAGTCGGCGGCTGCCCCTTAACAAAAATAGTGAAAAAAAGTCTGGAGGCATTAGCCAGAATTAAAAACATCCTAGGTAGTACTGCGGCTATCTATAGTAAGGGGCACTTCACATTCATTTGAGTAGAGACACAGTTTGCCAGTTAAATTACAATGCACTATAGATTTTAAAGAAAGCAGCGGAATAAGAAATCCACTCAAGACCTTGTCTTGACACAATGAACTCCAGCTTGTTAAGCTGCAATAAATATTTCATGCTGCAACAGACTCGATTTCAAAAGCATCCGCTATGTTCAGTAACTACTGGCATGTGGCTTCATTTGTGGTGTCGCTTAAAGTGGGCTTTTAAAGCCTTCATCTCTCCAGTAAAATATTGTTTTCCATTTTCCAGACAGGAATGAACAAAAGTTACCCTGGTGCAGTATTTAAAATGCTGCGCTGCTTAGACTGGGGTGGGTTTGAAGTTTATCCCTTTTTAAAGGTGTATAGTTACCATGAGGATAGTCTCTTGGTGGAAAGTAGAAGTATTAGATCTCTTGATCACACAGAACAGTTACTTACCTTACAGTAACTATGGTTCTGCAAGATGTGTTGTCCAGATGGATTCCACTCTTGCAGTCCTGGGAGGTAAGAAGGGACAGTTGGACCCACTCTGCTCTTGGGTTGGGGGGTGCAGGTGTGGCCCCAGCACACACTGCTGGCCCGAGGAATCTGATCCTAGGCACATGGGGCACATGCACACCAACAGTATGTCTGACCAGCAACTAGACACCCGCGGCTGGCCCGTGCTAGCTGACTCGGGCTCTTAGGGCTGTTTCACTGCCGGATCCCAGGTTCTAGGACCCTGTGGGGTGGGAGGGTCCCAGAGCTCAGGCTCCAGTCTGAGCCTGGACATCTACACTGCAGTGAAATAGCCCCAAAGCCAGAGGGTTTTTCTTTGCTGTGTAGATGTCCCCCACGAGTGGAATCCAGGTGGACAATCCCTCCATAATAATAATAATATATGGAGATATACCTATCTCATAGAGCTGGAAGGGACCTTGAAAAGTCATTGAGTCCAGCCCCCTGCCTTCACTAGCAGGACCAAGTATTGATTTTGCCCCAGATCCCTAAGTGGCCCCCTCAAGGATTGAACTCACAACCCTGGATTTAGCAGGCCAATGCTCAAACCACTGAGCTATCCCTCCCCCTCCATCACAGGGCACAGCTCCTTTCCTGCCTTCTTCCCCCAGAAACGACATGGACGCCAGCGGTGGTGCCTTCTCCATACCCTTGTTGTTATTTCCACAACAATCCCTGTGCAGTCTATTTATAGCACCAACAGTGCTTTCTGGCCCTCTCCCCAGGACCTGAGGGGAACAGAGGTCTCCCTGCCTCGAGGCCTCTATGTAACTGGGCTTGCCTCCCTCTCCTTGGCACTTCCTTCCATCAGCATTGTCACTGTCCCCCGAAGACATTGGCTTGGCAATTTATCCCTAGCACCCAGTTCATTATTGCATTGCTAGAGTTATATTATAACCAGAATGCTAAAGCCATAATGAAATTCCTCTTGGTTTCAAACACTGAGGGCCTGTCCATAGGACAAAACAGCACTGGCATTTCTAAAGTGTGAATTTAAACCAATTTTGTTAAACCAGTGCAATCCTCGGCATGGACACTTATTTTGGTTTAAGTGTGGTTTAGTTTAAGTCAATAGGGAATAAGTTTAAATTAAACCCAAATAAGCCACTCACGCTGAAATGGTGAGTCTTGCTCACATGCTCAGGGTTTAGCTGATTGCCATATTTGGGGTCGGGAAGGAATTTTCCTCCAGGCCAGATTGGCAGAAGCCCTGGGTTTTTTTTGCCTTCCTCTGCACCGTGGGGCACAGGTCACTTGCTGGAAGATTCTCTGCACCTTGAAGTCTTTAAACCATGATTTGAGGACTTCAATGGCTCAGACACAGGTTTGATACAGGAGTGGGAGAGTGAGATTCTGTAGCCTGCACTGTGCAGGAGGTCAGACTAGATGATCATAATGGTCCCTTCTGACCTTAAAGTCTATGATTCTATAGGAGTGTGTCCACACAGGAATTGCACCAATTTAAAAATTGGTTGAAGTTAAACTGGTGAAAGTTTCCTATGTAGGTAAGGCCTGCGGGTCAGAACCTGACTTGGGGCAAGTCGGCTGAACCCACGGGCTTTAATAGAACTACAATTTACGTCAACTGAGGAATGACCCTCTGTGCTTGTGTTTCCCAGTTAGCGTCCACCTGTCTATTCCAAACTCTGAACTCAGTATAGATCAGCCACTAATACTTGAAGTAACTAATTCAAATTTTGATTTAACAACAAAAGCCAGATTTTTAACAGTCATATTTAAATAAAGGAAATTGAAGGAAGATGACAATACCTAAAGTAAGTTGAACTGAGATTGTTACATTTTGTTATTTACAGTGGATGACCTTCTAAGAGAAGCTAAAATTGCACCAAATGGGATGGTGAAATATGAAGAATTCATCCACGCCATCACCCTTCCTGTTGCAGACTACTGAATTTCAGAATGACAAGACCGCCTTGGGTAGGGAAACAGGCAAGCTTTTCCAGCTTACGTTTTCCTGGGTCACTTTTGGGCTCACTGGAATCAGCACTGCTTGGCTTTAAGGATCAATATTTTGCCTTCTTAGAGTGAAATATTTTGTTTGAACAGGTTTTTCCCATTGCAAGGCCTGGCCACACCTTCCTTGTCAGTTGGAATGGAGTGTTCATGTCAAACACTGGATGTATTATTTTAAATGAATTGAATTCCATGTTACATTGCATAAAGCTTATCGTACTTACAAACCCACTCCTTAGTCATTAGCATTTTTAAAACACGTTATACTTTAAAGGGGACAGTTTTTGCAGAGCAAAATCAGCTACCTACCTTAATGTCACAGGGAGATGGTTCTTCTTGAGAGTAAAAGAAAGAACGAACAGCTATTTGGTCTGACTCTGAGCCAGTGGTATCCAACTATTCCCTGTGTATAAGGTATCCTAGGGTGCTTGACTATGCTACCCATAAATTTTGACAAGTTTGGAATGACTATGCATATCGCTCACACCAGTGCCTGGATACACACAACCCACTGATCAATCTTGCTGTTATGGAGAAGCCGAGCCAACACGCCAGTGGGAAGGGGAGCTCAGAACCCTGTTGGCTATCTGGATGAGGACAGTGGTCAGGCAGATAGATGTGAGTTCTTCCAAACAGAATCACAGCAACAGTAGTTACCGGGCTTACAGTGAACTGCGAGAAACATGAGCCCTCCTATTACTGTTCAAGCATGATAAGGGGTTCCCTATGCAGCATAACTTTACTCATCCAGATTCTTGGGGAGTGGAGGACAAAGAGAAGCAAGATCTCCATACTACCATGCTTATGACCTTTTACTAATCAGGAAGCTACTTCAACATGCAATGCCATAGGAAATCTCCATGAAGTTGAAAACTTGTCTCTCTCCATGAAGTTGGTCCAATAAACGATATGTCACCCACGTTGTCTCTCCGTGAAGTTAGATATCCACAGCGACTCCTGAGGTAGGAGAGTATGGGCTTTGCATAAGAAATCTCAATCCTATGCAGAAACGAGAGCCATAGTCCTTGGCTGAGACGCTGTGGGATAGCTGCCCAGAACATACTCCTAAAAACACTTTGGCAGTGTGGACACAACAATACAGTTGTGATGGCAGAAATGTGCAGCCTGGTCAGGGTTGTAAACTAGGGTGATTAAACTTTCAGTGGAGTGGGCTGAATTTCAGCCTTAAGTATGGTCCCTTGACCCGGGTATAAATTTAGGACTACATAAACGCCTTGGTGCCCAGCAGATCTGCTGTCAATGGGAGGTTGGCACAGACTATGGTCTTTATCTAGTAACTGAACTTGTAGTTGTTCTCTCTTCAGTACATTAGCAAGATAATATACTCCCTGCTAGGATCACTGCTATTTCTGTCCATTGGTGCTCTTCCTCCCCACTCCTCCTTTCTTCCCTGCAGCAACTCTGCAATTCCCATCCTCCTCTCATTCCCTTTGTCAGATGATCAGCAACGAAGTAGTTAATGTAGACATCCGCGTTAGGCTTTAGAGTTAATTCCCTAATGTGTCTAAGATGGGATGGGGGAGATGTCATTGTTTCAGACTGCCTGCAGACTCAGGAAAACTCAGTTTATTGATTTATACTGTTCACATCTGAGAAGTTCTTTCTTCAGCTATTAAAGCCAGAAACTTTCATTTTTAAAAAGATTCCACAGAACGTGAATATTCCATGCAGGCCATCTAAACATATCAAATGGGCTGGATCCATGTTTGACTTGGCTGGAACATTTCAGTTCATGAAAAATTAAAGAGCGCCCACAATGTTTAGGCCTTCTACATACAACTTTTACCCCGGGTTTTGTTAATCAGTCACAGAAACCTTGTTTGTGAATCCCCTCCCCACCTGCCGTGCGAACCACATTTGTATCAATGCGTTCTAGTAGCTCTCTCATAAAGATTCCCCATGACACAGAATGTCCAGAGGACATGGACAATAGCATCAGGGGCCATGCACACTGGGTTATATTACTGCAGAGCTGGGATGAAGGAGGATTACCAATTACGTGAACATCATTACTGGGTCCTGCTCATGTTGCAAAACAGTGTTGAAGTGGTTATTGGGTGACAACTATGTGAGAATCTAGGCCTCAAGCAGGGGCAAGACACAGAGCCAACCAACCATGGTTACTAATCATGACCACAAGGTGACAACTGATGCCAAGCAAGCACATCCTTAAGTCTGCACATAGCCCCATTAAAGGTAGTAGGGATCCACTCACACAGCCAGCTGTGGATTCAGGACTCTAGTTTTGGTCATATTTCATGCGTGGCCACAGTGTTTAGAGCCAACCCTGTCAGTAACTGACCACAAAAACTTGGTTAAAATTTTACTGTGGACAGGCCTGTTGGGTCTTTCAAACAGTAAGTTGAGCCCCAACACTCTTGGAGGTAGGCATTTTCCCCCTATTTTAGATATGGAAAACTGAGACACAAAAGGGTTAAATGACTTGCCCAAAGTCTTGCAAGAGATGGGAGTGGATCCAAAGATCTGTCATTCACCCCACTGCCATTTCTTGTCCATTTCCTGATTCACTTACTCATGAAGACTTGAGTTTTTGCCGTTCCCAGGCCATAATCAGCCATCATGAGGTAACCATGATGAACTCAAATCCTTGCCTACAAAATACTTGAGAGGTGTTTTTATTTTTTTTAAGTCTTTTAAACGGCAAAGGGCTGTGTGTTGAGGGGACACTATCCCTTGCCAGGCATAAATCTGATCTACCTACCCTGTCACATATCTGTCTACAATGTCCACTCAATTTATCATCTTTGAGCTTTCCACCATCCAACAAAAATACTCCATGGACTTCTAAAAATTAGACAAAAATCTTACCAGCAGCTTAACATTTAAGCACCCCTCCAATAACGAAGAGGGAGGTCCTGAAGATAGAGGGCGGAGAACTCCAATAAGGAAATAGTTCTTGCTTTTAAATGTCCAAATTATGCCTTTTCTCCCCTACCATTAAGTTCTACAAATATCTTGACATTACAAGTGAGGACAGTCTACTTATTACGTTCACTGGTCCCTTTTGAGGAGTGTGCCAGTAGCTTGTTCAGAGCAGTGAAATAGGTTCTCTCATTTGTATTAGCTGCCAACTACCAATGGCCCAAGATAGCCATTTGACAATCTCTCTCATTGTTCAGCACATTTGACTACTGGAAACAAATGCTTTCGGACAGAATTGATATAAAAGGCGTTGATGAAGCATGGACATTGCTCAGATCAAACACTTTGTATTAATCTAGAATGTGTTGTAACAGCCTGTTTCTACCAGCCAGGTATAAACACTTCCCAAGTGAAATCTAGACAAGAATGGGGACAGTGCATTTTATACACTCTCACACAAACATGGCGCCACTGATAGAACAGGAGGAGACTGGTGCGCTGAATGCTCTACTTAAATTCAGATACAAAATGACACATCCCATGCTACGAAACATCATTTATCAAGGAAGCATGCCTGTGCAAATTACATTCCTGTGAGTTTCCCACTCCACAGGGAGCATCCAGTATTACTTAATTTAGAGAAGACAAGATAACTGATTTTTTTTTATTACATCTAAAGATTTCTACATAAACAGGTAACATTCAATAGGTAAACAATTTTTTCCAATGCATGTAATAAATATTTTCACTTGGTACTTTTATACAAACTGACATTGGTCTACTATACATTTTTAAAAGCCATTTTACTGGTTTGGCATGCCGTATGGAAACTAAGAGAAATTTTAAGGCAATGAATCACAGATTTAAATTCATGGAATTAATGGTAACTTGTTAATATTCTGCTTATATACATTTCCCCTTTGTTAATTAAAACAATTAACAGCAGCACTTTCTGGGACCACCAGCTATTCTCCCTTGTTAGAAATCTAAGCTCTGTTTAAAAAGAAAAAAAGAAAAATGAACACTTACATTGATAAAACAAAATCCTTTCTGAATACATGTTAAAATGTGCTTTAAAACCCTGAAATGACAATGCAATGAAGGATTCTCTGTGATATGCTCTCCCCACAGTTCTTAGCTTTAAATTAGAAGGCAGCTCCAAGCCAGTTCAATAAAAATCTACAAGCCACCCCACCCCGAGAGGCTTTTTGAATCCTTGCCGTGAAGGGTAACGAACAGGCATAGAATTGCTACAATGCCTATATTAATGAAAGCACTACGAAGTATTTTAAACGCTCAGTATGTTAGATTTTAGCATAGTTCAGATTTTGTTTTGCGTTGTTTTGTTTTTTAAAAGAATGCATTCAATAATGCCCACAAGTGATTCAAAACCACTTCAGCCCTGCTATTGAAATAACAGCTATTTACTCAGATCTGTGTGTACAGACACATACACACATGCAGTAATATACAGAACAGACAGACACGCACTCTAGTGGAAGAATTTGAGGACAAAGGAAAAAATTGGTACCCCACAGCCTAAGGGTTACACAGATTCAGTAATCTACAGTCAGGTTAGCAGTACTGCAAACCAGCCAAAAGCAGGAGTTACTTTACTGCATCGTTAATAAATATGCAAAGAGTGATTTTTTTTTTTAAACTAAATCGTAAGGAATTCCTGGAGAATTCAGACTTCTGCTAAATAATGTTAACTGTAGGCAGATACAAAGTTCCAGCAAGTTATCAATCTTACAAAAGCTCAGAGAATGAAACAAATAGCCACAAAACATACAGAATGAATACCACATAGGAGAATCAAAGGTTAGCTGACCTATGTGGAACAATGGGATTAAAACATGAAGCTGAACTGAAAAGCCTTTTGCTCTTATTTAGCTGGTTTGGGGGATCACCGGCTGACCTTGGCTTTTGGAAGGTAAGCTAAGGATGAAAGATTCCCAACTCTTTTACAATATATTCGTCACATTCAGCTCTCCAGGGTTGCCGAGGTTTAATTAAATTTTTAATTTTCTTTTTAAAAGCAGATTTTCAGCTCACCTTTAACACAGCTGAATCGGTATGAACACTGCCACCACTCAGATGTAAAATAGCCATGAACTCCCCAGAATTTCATTCTTTAATTTTCATTTTCTTACCAGTTTTAGAAGGCGGGGCCACTTTTGCTCTCAGTTACACTGGTGCGAGTCTGGAAGAATCAGTCACTTCAGATTTATACTAGGTATTACAGTGAAGCATCTGCTCTCTAATTACCAATTTAATAACCCAATGGATTTGCTAGACTAAAATTTATAAACTAGTTAAATTC